ATTTTTGGAAATTTAAGTAAAATGCGATGACTTCTAATATAAATTTTATTGATATTGTAAGTCTAAATCCTAATAGGTACATGATGGAGGGAGGGATATTTTAATAATCAAAGGTTAAAAAGAATGGCAAATGGGATTTGATTTACATTATGGATTTTTGATAAGTTTTCTTTTTTTAGATTTTAGGTCTATGTTAAGTAACTTATTAAGGAGAATACGTAAATGGTTAAGAATTTTGCCTATGGGATGCTTACTATAATAATTAGATAATGTATTTGAGAGTATTATGTAAAGAGCATAAGGAATTTATGGATAGGTTGGAGAGAAAATTGGAAAGTGGGTAGAATTATATGACAATTATTACGAGTAAAATATCCCCTAAGAATCAGCCTAAATTAAGTTATATAAATAGGAATCTATGAGAAAGGAAAAGGATCGAAAGAATGGAAAATATTAATAAAGGAAAGTTATAGCAAAAGAATGATAAATATGTAATTAAAGTATTTAAACAAACAATTAGTGGAGGAGGAACATATGATATAGAAGGTGAGAAAGTTGGATTCTGGGTTGAGCCTCATTATAATTTTTATGAGTAATCGTGATATTTATCTCCACAGAGATTGTTAAATTATAATGACGGGTGATTATTAACTTGGTTAAAGAATAGGAAACTGGGAAATTTACTTGAGAAGATACTAATATGATTAATATAAATCCATGTATCCCAATATCTAACTATGTGCTCTATAGAGGAGAAGGAAATTACAATTAATAGGGTGTTAAAATTGGAAGATGGGACGAGTTAGAAAGTTCCTATGACTTGTATTAATAAAAGATTATTATTAGCAATCACTAATTAATTTACTCTGGTATTTATGAAAATAGAAATAAACATGGGAGATGGGACATAAAATATAGAAAGTAACAAGAAGAATTTACAATAATGTATGAATTTATAGTAATTTAGTGGGGGAGGTTATTTTGAAAATAATGAAAAAATTGGAATGTGGGTTGAACCTATCCAATATTTTAATTAGTAAATTTTAATTTACTAATATAGAAATAAATAAATATTATTTGAAGGATGCTATAAAAAAAATAAAAAGCATGGTTGGTGGAATATGTATTGCAAAAAAAGTTATGAAAATGAATTAATGTAAATAATATATATTATTTGTATTCAATTATTAGAGGTGGAGGAAATTATGAAGATAAGTATGGCACCAAAAATGGGGTGTGGAATGAAATTGAAGAAATTTCTTATTTCCCCAAAGAATTTTCGGCTATTATGAGATAATATTTAAATGGCATGAAATTATATCCAATTACAAAATAGTTTATGATTTGATTCCGAAATTGAACTTAATTTAAAATAAAGATCATACCGATATATTTTTTAAGTCTAAATTTCATTAGTTTGAGTTAATACGTTTGGGTATTCTAAATAGATAAAGACAGTTTGTTAATTCAACTTTTTTTTGTTTGGCTAAGAAAAGGGCTTAGATATTGGATAGAATATTTTGATGTAGGTATTCTTTGCATTTATAAAATAGAAGAAGATAAAAATTCATAATTATTTTAAGTATTAAGAACATTATTTAGAACTTGAAATTCTGAACAATTTAGTCTCTATAGGACAAATCGTAATGAACTACAATTATTGAATGTGATATATAACACTCAGTTAAATTACATGTTTTAAGCAGCCTATGGTAAAATTTGCAAGTCAGCAGGTTAATTAATTCTATTTTATCAGATGATTAATTAAAAATATTTCTTAATTGTAGTAAATAATCTTCTAGATTTCAAAATATCAAAAAAAATTGGATTTTATTTTTGTAATTTTCAAGTAAAAGTGTATTATGTTAAATCTAATAGGAACATTCCAATCTTATAGATTAATCAGTTAATATTTAATTGATTTATAATTTCGATTCTAAATTTTGCAACAACTATAATCTGGAGCAAAATGACTTGTCCAAAAATCTTTAAGAATGAATTATGTTCTAATTTTTTACATTAAAATATAGGATTAAATTCTAGTTTTCTTAAAAATTCTTTTTGTTATTATTATATTACAAATTAGAGATATATTTTCTTTAACACTAATCATGAATAATTAATAACTATAAATACCTTAGAATGAAAAATATTTTGAAGCTTTTGATTAGAAAATATATACCTATAATTTGCATGATTAATACCCAGTACACAAAAATTTATGGTGCAAGACTTTTGCATTTATTTCTGATGACTCAATTTTAGCAATTGGTTTTAATGACATGATAAAATTATATGAAATAAAGAATGGAGATCTCAAATAATTTTAAATCTTATTAGGCCATAG